AATAAGAAGAAATTAATTCAGGGCTTTTCTTGTAAATTGTATAACTTTGCAAAGAAAGGTCGTGTAGAGCTGGGAGACGTCTCATTCTAATCAGAAATTTGAAGTTATAGAATTTACAAGAAAAGCCCTGAATTAATTTCTTCTTATTTCTGTAGCTTAGAGCTGAGAATGAACATTTAGAGCGTTTCTTGTAAATCGTATAACTTTGCAAAGAAAGGTCGTGTAGAGCTGGGAGATGTCTCCTTTTAATCAGAAATTTGCGCGCTACAATCATGTCTCACTAACAAAGGGTTTTCATTATGTTTCAGAGTTTCTGACAAACTGGTTTTCCAGAAAACCGGATCTTCAAGAGTCATTGGCACGAACCCTTTTAGGCTTTTTACTATCCCGATACTCTCTATCGATCGACGTATGAACGATTGAAAAGTAGTGTTACAGTAGAATAATGTTCCTGGTAAGTCTAGCAATTTATCATTTAATTCTTTTGTTTCTAGAACACTAGAGTAACTGAAGAACCAACAGATTAACCGTCGGTTATTTTCGGTTACTTATAACCGACCCATGCCTATATGTAACCCGAGAAATCGCAAAACATAGCACAGATGATCAGAAGAAGAAAGATATGACATACTCCATTCACTAAGGGGCAAATACCAAATATTGAATTCGTTCGTTAAGAGATTGGTGCGTGCGTTTTTCTGATTTTAGCGGTTTTAGTTTTTTGATTTTCGGTTGATCGAAACCGGTACAGATAAAATCAGATGTTTCTTTGACATTAGTAGATAGATGTTATGTGCTCACTCTTTATATCATTTTAAAATCTTAAATAAAAATATTTGAGAGTTTCTTGGTGCCGATTAACCGACACCGGTACGTACCTGGTTCCATCTCTTTTACCGTGCGGAGGCGAAAAAGCCGAATTTTCTCTTTTGTTGACGAATTTTAGTTAAATCGCCTTTTGTGTCATACAAACACATAAGCGAACCTATGATACACGAAAAGAAAGACAACACTTCTGGACACCAGAAAATACATTTGGAGTCCACTTTGACGTATGATACTGTATTCAAAATAAATTTGTTTTCGTTTTCTTTTGGGTTAGAAAGTGATCAAGATTGAAGCTTTGCAGTATTTCCTCTATATTCGTTTATTTTTACAGTATATAGGATAACGTTCAACATTTTATTTGTAGAGAATGAAATGGGGACGAATCTTTTAAAGGGAAGTTTAAGTCTATGCGGTCAAAAATTAAAAAATTATTCAAAAAATACGGTTAATGCAATTTCTTCTGATATACCCGTTACAGATAATTTGGTATCATTTATTATTGGTTGAAGATCGGACATATTCATAAAAATCTTGTTTTCTGTATTAATACTCACCTGCCATCAATCGTCCAAGTCGAAATATCACAGCTCGTTCATATTCTTGTATAACTTTTAATGTAAAAAATAATGAAAATGGAAAAAAAATGACAACCAAACACCATGCACCCACTAATAACGTTGTTTCACATAAATTTTGTTTAGCATATGTTATCTCTTCTCCAATAATATAGGGTACATCATATTTGGCCCATAATCGTCTTAGACTAGGTCTTTTTGTAGCAACATCATGTCGTCTATCTTCAAATATAGCTGCTATTGAAGATTTTCGACGATCAATTCGTGATAAATGAGGTATTGATGAAAATGTTTCATCAACAAACTCATTATTTTCAGTCTCTCGTTTCGGACTCATTTTGTTTTAAGACGTTTTTATATAAAGTATAATAATAAATAAAATTATAAAAATATAAAATATTCGTATATAAATCACAGGAAATGTTCAACTTATGAACTAGAACAAATATGATTAATTAAAAATAATTTCTTTATTAATATTTTCTGTTGTTTGATTTCTAATAATTCAAAAATATTAAAAAAATCTTTTTTTGTAAATTACTACTCATCATTGATTTGATTTCTAACAAATTTTTTTCTTACCTGTCTCTCTAGGTCTATTTTCTATTTTTAAGTAATTATAGATGTTGTCTAATATCATTGAATAAGATTTCTGCATGACTAGTAGTTTTTCATTGGCATTTTGTTGATTAGTTAATCGACGTTTTTGACAAGAGAGCGATCAGTATAGAATACGTTGAGAATTTAGTAAAATATACAACAACAACAACAACAACAAGAATCAAACAGGAAACGAGAAAAAAAAAAAGAAGAAAATCTTGTTTTTTTTTTTCTTCTTCTCTTTGTCATTGTATTGTATCTTGATATACATTTAAACATGTTCGTTTCTTTTGCTACATTTCTTCTTCATTTTTGGTTTTATCTCTTCTCTTTTACTATCTGTCTTACAATACATGAGAAGAATCTATCATAGAATAAATCTCAGATTAGGCGATGACTTTGTACAATTAATCTTTTTCACAGTGTGATATGACATGCTCAATTTAATTCGGACTTTTTTTACTTACTTTTAACTTATACTTAATAATAAGTTCGTTTTTTCCGTTTCCGGTAGGAAAAAAACGCTAATTTATTCTATGTATTCATTATCTTTTTCTTTGTAAGGTTTTTTTTTATTCCAATTCTAAAGATGTTCATCATATATTTTTTATATCTTTATTACTGTAGTCCATCTGTGTCTTGTCATTAATTTTCTTGTCTAGTCCAAGATAATATCATAAATTAAGTATTTGTACCTATGATCAATATGATAACCAGTTTCTAAGAATAATTTTATAATCTAATATATAATCTCGATTAGATAAGTTAAATCATACTCTGCAATTTTATTTATAATTAAACGGAAAGAGAAATTATATGTGTATATATTTGGGTTTATATTTCTTTCTACAAGTCAAATTTGTAAGTATAATTTTGTTATAATAATATTTGATGATCCCCACACAATACTTAATTTTTTATTTCCTCTGCATGTACATATTATACAAATAAGAAAAAATTTATACAATTTTTTTTTTTAAAAAGATCATTGACAACAAATCACGTATCATCGAGTTATCAATGATAGTCTGATAACATGTGTACATGTCTAACACGACATTTTCACATTAGAATCTTATAAAAACTAGAAAACATGCTCTATTATCATTTTTATGACTCTATTATAGACAATTTATGATGTTTATATAACAGAAAAATTAACAGAAAAGAATTTCTGCATGATAGAAATGATACAATTTTTAATTTTTTGTTTAGACAAAATAATTGAAATGTATTATGATGATTATAATACAGAAAATGTCATATATCAAAAAGGAGAATAAAACTTTTAAGCCAAAACGAAATTATTTCAAAATTAAAATGAATAATGATAAATAAGTATAATTTAATCTTAAATTTGATCAATCAATGTGTATCATATCCAATCATTCTAATATCGTTTAATTGATCATGTTATATATCTTGTCTACAAAAAGAACATATTTTATCAAATATCAGTACAAAAGGGTAGCTCTTATTTACATTGCTCATTATTAGATATAAAAATCAAACAGAAAAACAATAAAGAAATATTTTTTTCTTCCTTTATAATAGCATCTACACATTAAACAAGATTTTCAAGACTATGACAAGAATAATTAATAAGAATATAAGTTTAATTACTTTTTATTTAAAAAATAATTCTATTTACTATTTCTAAATATTTTTTTTTGATTTATGTATTATTTTATGAGTAAATATCGCATTTTATTTCGTTATTTTTTCTAATATATGTTATTTTTTCAAAACTATTTATTGACTAGTAAACATGACAAAAATAATTACTTGAAAAAAAAATATGAGTTACAAGAGTATCTATAACAAAAAAAACTTAATGATGATTGAGAGAGAAGATCGAAATACAGCTGTACACAATTTATTTCATATTAGTCATGGTCAAATATCAGAACAAAAGAGAGAAGATATGATATAATTGCAGCTGTAAAAATGTGAACAAGACATTTTTTTTTCTTCCTTGACTATTCTTAATAATAAACACATAGATATATATATATATATATGTAGGCTAACAAATCTATTTAAGTTAGATCTAGTAATGGTTAAGTGAAATAAGAACTAATCTTCGAAAACAAAATAGGTTACATCTATTGACTTTACATTTGTGTTTATATATTAAAAAAAACACGTGTTATCCTTGAAGCATAATGCTAATAATAACACTTACATTTAAAGAAGATAAATATAGAATACCATTAATATTTAATTGCAATTGAGTCATATTAAGCATACGTTTTATTAAAAAACAGGTTGACAAATAATAATCGTTTGTAAATAATAGAATATTGTATGTTTCTTTTGTTTAATCGAAATTCTCGACAAAATGTTTACATATCTAGGTTCGAAACAGGTTTCAGTTTTCAGCGAGAAAGAGAATCAGTGATCAGCTTTTTTCTCGATTGCATTTTTTATTTCAGGTAACTTCTGCTCGTTCTTTAATAT